TTGAAAATGTTCAAAGGAGGGCCACCAAACTGGTGCCTGCACTTCGGCATCTCAGCTACCCTGAGAGATTGGAGCGCCTGAACTTGCCTAGCTTATACTACAGACGGGCAAGGGGGGACCTAGTTGAGGTTTATAAGCATCTCAGGGGGCACTACTCAGTTGAGTGTCCTTACTTGGAGCTGGCGGACGCTCGCCCCACAAGGGGTCACAGCTCAAGATTGAAGAAGCCGCAAGTCCAGAAAACCGTGAGGGCAAACTTTTTTGGAGTGAGGGTTGTAAACTCTTGGAACAATCTACCAGAGAGTGTTGTGACGGCACCGAGTGTGAGCTCTTTCAAGACCAGACTTGACCAAAACTGGAGCGGGTTCAGGTACATTCAGGAGCCGGTGCATGCCCAGTATTTGCCAACAGTGCGTGACAGAGACGTGACCGATCGCCCGGGCGGCTAGCGAGCCGACCTTTTGGTGAAGAATATAAAGGAAAAGAGACGTGACCGATCGCCCAAGCGGCTAACAAGCCGATCAGTGGCGAAGAGGATAAAAGTAAAAAAAAGTAAAAGTGCAGTTTCATGTATCACACTCGACAGTCACTCACTCTCACAGCAATGAAAGAAATCATCATGATCTTGTTTACCAACACCTGATACACTGTCACACACTATGGAAGGCCTCTGGCTCTTCAAAAACACACTCTCTGGTTACTGCACAAAAGAGAGTTGCACAGACAATGACCTACTTGAAAAAAAAACATATCACACAAACGAAAAATTTGCTAAATTGAAAATGTTAAAATTCGAAGATATTAACACCTACTGCTGTGCCCTCTTTGTTTACAAATCTATCAATCACTTGCTTGACAATAATTATTTCCAGTTCCAGAATGATCAAAGATAAAACTTAAGGCACCCAGAGCAACTAAGACCACCCCCCATGTGCTCCTCTCACTCCCAGACCTCCATAAAATATCACGGTGTGAAAGAACTTACCCCCACCCATCCGAGGAAAGACTACACTCCTTTCCTTTAAATCATCTCTTAAAAAATATATACAGTATTGTCTAAGTATTAATATTTCTTGAAATACCTACTACAGCTCCTCCCCGACTTACAACCACCCGCACTTACGACCTGCCTCAGTCGTTCCAAAATGTTGTCAAATTACGTTTTTTCAAGTACCAATGTCAGTACACAAAATTTTTTTTCGTTTGTAATTCACTTTAAAATGGCTGACAAGCTTAAAGTTGAGAGTTCTGTGGTGTTGAGAAGAAAAAGAGCCACCCATTTTAGATTTTCTATGTATTATTTAAGCATTTTAGACTTGCGACCTGGATTTGGGTCCGTAACCCCGTCTAAGTCGGGGAGGAGCTGTATATTTACAATACCAGCTTTTATTGTACCATCAAAACCGTTTTATCGGAAATTATCATTGCAATAAACATACGGCCACTGCCGACTTACGACGGGGTTAGGGACCCAAATCCAGGTTGTAAGTCGAATTGGTCATAAGTAAAAAATGCGAAGATGATACATAGAAAATCTAAAATGGGTGTCTCTTTTTCTTCTCAGCACCACAAAACTCTCACTTTTAAGCATGCCAGCCATTTTAAATGGAATTAAAATTTTTTTTGGCCAGTATACAGTGCAATCACTAACGTCGGGACTCGAAAATATGCAATTTAAAAAAAATTTGGTAAGACTGGGTCGGTCGTATGTCCGGGTGGTCATAAGTCGAGGAGTAGCTGTATTTGCCAACTAGACATAATCCTGACAGCTCTGTCCTCTTGTTCAACCTTACTACTGTACAACCCATGTTGTACTGCTCCCCCATTATACTTATGTTCTTCAATTTCACTGTAATTCATGTATACAGGATATATATATATATATATATATATATATATATATATATATATATATATATATATATATATATATATATATATATATATATATATATATATATATATATATATATATATATACACACAGTGACCCCTCATTTAACGAACACCTCGGTTAACGTAATTTCGATTAACGAACTGCCTTCCATAAGGATCTTCAATTCGGTTAACGAAAAAAAATTCGGTTAACGAAGTTCTTACGAACCGTCCTCAACATGTTTTCGCTTGCACTGACCGGGCAACCAGCTTTAGTATCAGTCCGCCAATACATTAATCGGTTCTAGGGCTTAAATTCCTTACTATTTTAGTAAATATCAAGAAGTTTATACTATTCAATAATTATAAAAGTTTAATATTCAATTTTTTAGTCATTTTAACAATTATTGAACAAAATTGAAGGTAAAGTGACTAGTTTAATGCACGGCATCCAGCCTCTTAACACAGCAAACAGGAGTTAGTCTCTCTCTGTTTTCACTGGAGGTAACATCTTGCTTGAGACTCTCTTCAACTAAACGCTTTTTTTCTGTGTTTCCAAGCAAATTATTGGTCATTTTGAAATTTGTTTTACATATTGACAATATATAGTGCAGTGCAGTGTTATTTTAAAGAAAATATTCTTTATTTACAACTAGTTTAACTTTGGAAAATACGTGTTGACATTGTTTGAATCCAGCATGGGGCCTAAGAGATCAAGAAAAGCAATTTCAATCCAAATAAAGCAGGAAATAATAAAAAACACGAACAAGGCATTAAATCAAATGCGCTATGCAAAGAATATGGCATGTCGGCATCAACTGTGTCGACAATTCTTGCACAAAAAGACAAATTTAAAGAAGTGAACGTGAGAGACAAATCTACAAGAGTGTTTAAAAGTAGATCCCTAATCGTAGAAACTGAGAGGTTACTTATCATCTGGATTAGGGAAAAACAGATGAAAGGTGATTCAGTTTCTGGTGGTTTCATTTGTGAAAGAGCCAGGGAGATTTATGAACATTTAAAGGCAGATCAACCTGGTTCTTCAGGAACAGAATTTGAAGATTTTCGGGCTAGCAAAGGCTGGTTCGAAAAATTTAAGAAAAGAAGTGACATTTTAAGTGTTGTTAGGCATGGTGAAGCTGCTAGTGCTGATAAAGAAGGGGCAGCAAAGTTTTTAGTTGAATTTAAAAAACTGATGGAAGAAGAAAATTATCTTCCACAGCAAGTATTCAATGTGGACGAAACTGGGCTGTTCTGGAAAAAGATGCCCAAAAGAACATTCATCACCAAAGATGAAGCCTCTTTACCTGGGCATAAACCCATTAAAGACCGTCTTACTCTATTGCTTGGTGCCAATGCTTCAGGGGATTTCCGACTGAAGCCTATGCTTGTCTACCACTCTGAAAACCCCAGGGTGTTCAAGCAACAGAAAGTGGTAAGAACAAAGCTTGGAGTTTATTGGAAGTCCAACCGTAAGGCATGGGTGACAAGACAGCTCTTTAATGAATGGGCTGTTGATGTGTTTTGCCCCTCTGTCAAGAGCTACCTAACCACCAATAAGCTTCCTTTAAAGGCTCTTCTCCTCATGGATAATGCTCCTGGTCATGACCCTGACCTTGCCAGCAATTTGGAGTATCAATTTGACTTTGTGAAAGTGTTGTTTTTGCCTCCAAACACTACATCAATCATACAGCCAATGGACCAGAATGTAATCAGCAACTTCAAGAAGTTGTACATGAAGAAAATGTTTAGGTGTTCATCAGGCAACTTCCACTGATCCTGAACTAACACTGAAACAGTTCTGGAAGACACAATTCAACATCCTGGAGGCTGTAAAATTGATTGTGTCATCATGGCAAGAAGTCTCCAATAGAACCCTCAATTCTTCATGGAAAGCACTGTGGCCATCAGCAGTCCATGATTTTGAGGGATTTGAGGAAGAAACAGAGTTGGACCAGGAGATTTTGTCCATTGGTCAGTCATTGGGCCTTGAAGTGGAGGAGAAGGATGTGGAAGAGCTTGTGATGTCTCATGAGGAGGAACTTACTCCTGATGACTTGAAGCAACTGGATGAGATGTTACGGGTAGAGGCTGACAGTGGTGAGGAGGAAATTGAAAGTGATGACCATATGTCAGCTAAACAGTTGAAAGATGTGATTTACTACTGGGAGAAGTTCAGGGAACTGGCTTCAAAGCACCCAGAAGTGGAAAGAACTGAACTAACTTTGTGTCATGTTGAGGACTCAGTGGTCTCCTTCTTTAAACATAAGTTAATGGTGAGGAGGACAGATGCCCCACAGACCACAATTGACACTTTCTTCAGTAAAAGGCAGAGGGAACAAGATGCTAGCCCTCAGCCTTCCACTTCAAGAAGGAGAGAGGATGATGCTATCCCTCAGCCTTCCACTTCAAGAAGGAGAGAGGATGATGCTATCCCTCAGCCTTCCACTTCAAGAAGGAGAGAGGATGTTCATGGTGGAGAATCTGTCAGTCCAGAGGTTCCTGACATTTTCATGGAAGGTGACTCACCTTCCAAGAAACAGTAAAATGCTTCTCCTCCACCTCCACTTCCTTCTCTTCTCCCTTCTCCTCCTTCACCTCCCACTTCAAATGCACATCATCATCATCATCCAGGAGCCTTCTACATACACACCTCAAAGTAAGTAAATTTTTCTACCATTTTTGTTGAAGTAAGGAAATTTTCGGTGAGCTGGAACCAATTACCCAAAAACCCATTGAAACAATAGTTTCGGTTAACGAACTTTTCGGTTAACGAACGACCTTCTGGAACGGATTGAGTTCGTTAACGGAGGGGTTACTGTATATATATATATATATATATATACACACAGTATATATATATATATATATATATATATATATATATATATATATATATATATATATATATATATATATATATATATATATATATATATATATATATTATAATAATAATAAAAAATAAATATTGAAGTGATAACCGTGGTAACATTATGAGATGTTCTTATTACCACCATGTTATTGTACTATTCTGGATAATACTAAATGTTACATAATATTTCCTTGAGATAAATGTATAGTATATATCAGGTGCAGCTCAGGTTCTCAACTGGCTCAGCCATGTTAATACTGTTATTATTATCCACTCTATATCTGTGTTTTTCTGGCTAAATAAACTGTTACAATTCAATTCAATGACCACCTCTAGTGGGCGGCCATTAGGTTAATTTTGAGTCAAGTTTAAGCAATAACTAATCTTGACATTTGTTTTTTATACCTGATGTTACACAACTGCTTGTATACTTAACACTAACACTTTTACACTAAACCACATTCAAATATTTATACAAAACACACACACACTTTTAAACAAACACAAGTGCATATAAACACACACTTTCAGAGGAATACACGATTGTGTATTTTAAATCTATATTCTTAATCAGCATATAAAAGAGCATCTTTGTATGAAATTTAAACAAAATCTATGCCATGCCCTCATGTACTCAAACACAAGATAAGGGGTCAGCAATTTTGATTGGGAATACTGTTACTGGATGTTTTCTTTTCTGGAAAGTGAACGATAAAATGCTTAAATTATAAAGTTAGCCGATATTCTTGAGAAAAGGCATATAAAGAGGATTTATAATTTACGGGCACAGCGTAATTTATGTTTTAAATACTACAGTACTGTACAGTACATGAACACAAGCATTAGACAACATGATGTTAAGTAACAGAATACCTGTATAAGTCTCACCTCCCACAGGTCAGAGGTGTTTCATCAGTTGCTGTTGATGGCATCACATACAAATTAATCCCCTGAGTCAGTGTTCATCAGTTGCTGTTGATGGCATCACGCCTATAGAGTGTGTCCCCTGAGTCAGAGTGTTTCTCAGTTGCTGTTGATGGCATACCTTACAAAATTAATCCCCACAGGTCAGAGTGTTTCATCAGTTTGCTGTTGATGGCACATCACATACAAGTCTGTCCCCTGAGTCAGAGGTGTTTCATCGGTTGCTGTTGATGGCATCACATACAGAATTAATGTCCCACAGGTCAGAGGTGTTCATCAGTTGCTGATGATGGCATCACATACAAAGTGTGTCCCCACAGGTCAGAGGTGTTTCATCAGTTGCTGTTGATGGCATCACAAATGAGCCTGTCCCACAGGTCAGAGGTGTTTCATCAGTTTGTATAGTCGAGTCTTAGCTTGTCATACCGAGATGTGTTGTTGGTCCTTGAAACTTCCTGGAAATAAGATAAATAACTATACGTACTGTATAATACACAACACTGCACTGTAAAACTATTATATTATAGGCAGGGGTTATTTGACCAGCATCCAGCTTAATAACCACAGGTTATTTGACTGGGATTTAAAATAAAACGGTACTTTTGGCCACAGAAAATTATAAGAGTATTTTATTTATATTTCCAGAAGTACAAGTATTAGAAACAAATTGATGATATAGAAATAACAGTGAGGTGGAGGCCAGTTACTTCCAGGATGTGTTTACCTCGTAATTCACAGTTATGCTTTGGATGATATAGTGTAGTGATTTCTCCCCTACAAGCGCCGTGTGTAAGCTGACTGACCGACCCCTTGATCTGCCGGCGTATCCCTCGTGGTCAAGGTCAGGTAACCAACAACGCCAAACAAAGCGGGGGCCTTCCATCAAGCCACGCCTACGGAGGTTATTTAAGACCTGACCTCGTGGTGACCACCCTCTTTCTACCTACACCAACCAGCAAGCAACACCTCCTCCACCTCCTGCCTGGCGGTCCTTGCTCCCGCCGGCGAGCATGGCGACCCACAAGCTGGTCCTCCTCTGAGCACCCTCACCAACCAGCTCTCTCTACATCACGCTTGTAACCAAGCTGCCACTTCCCAGCACCAAGCTGCACTGTACATCCAATACAATATGTATACAGAGAGCACATTGTGAGTTTCCTTTCTCCATCCCATCCTGAGTGTGAACCCAAATATCAAGTACTGTACCCCACAATAGCATTAACTAATAAAACTGAAACCTTTTTTTATTGTAAATACAGTACTGTATAGTCTGGGTTTACGCGGATATTTTATATTCGGCACCTGTCCAGAAGCGATAATTATTATTTACGCAGTAAATGCCATCAAATACGCGGCGGGGCAAGGTGCTGACGTCAGACTCGCGCCGACGAAGTCGCGGACTGTGATTGGGCCAAGTATCCTTACCACCCACGCACCCCCTCCACGGTGCGCTGTCATTGGTCTATTTAACCTTACCATCCCCTGCCACCCGCGCTCTTGACCATAGCCGCGCCAGTCTGACTGTCCCTGCGTATACTCACTCGTGCCCGGGAACCATTTTTCTTTTTACACAAAGGCTTCCACCGGACCCCCACCACCCCGGAGAAACCCTGAACTACCTGGCCCAAGCCCAAGAAGGTGCGACT